TCTCTATGGACCGGTCTCGCATGAAAATCAGCCCCGGTTGCGGAATATTCATCGACGGAACAATAACGTACGTGCACTCTCGCCCACACGCGCGCCGCCTCGCAGCAGCCGCCGACCCCCTTTTCCACGAGGGTGTGCGGGAACCCATCGAGTTGTAACGATGTGCTTGATCGACGGGCTCGAGTGGACGAGCGCGGGCTAATGGCGCGTGATGGATGCTCGCAGGAGGGAATGTCGCGGGGAAGGATGTTCGACACCCCTTTTGCGCTCGCTTGTGTGCGAATTAATGTTCGAGCTTTCTTTCTCCCGACGGGAATATTGTTTCGGGATCGTTTCGCTGATTTTCGAGGAGCTCGGGGAAATGAAGGGTGGCAGATTAGCGTGTTGTTCGTTTGAGAAGCTGAAGGTGTGTAGATTTGAGAGAGTTAGGATCTGATTTTGATTGGCACGCGAGAGCTTAGTTTCTTTTGGTTATGGAAGTATTACTAGTATTTCGAATGTTACTAAGCATACACTGGAAATATTAATCCGACCACTGGCAAATCTTGTTCATTCACAAACTAGAACTTATGCTTCCTGCTACGAGCTCGAAAAACATCCACTCAATCTCAAGAAGCTTCCCAGATCATACTCAATCATTTTTCACCATCAAACAATCACTTCTCAACAATGACTACAAACCACCCTTCAAGCGCATAGGATTAACAATCATACGATCAAGTTCAAAACCATCCAAATATTCGCAAATCATCCCCGACGCTCTCGCACCCTAAAAACGTCCTCCCTAATTCCCATCGATATTCCCGCGCATTTGACTCGCAGCGTCAACTCAGGTAACAAGAACAGGAGTCGAAGGGAGCATCAAGGTGTCTACCAGGCAAGAACACGAAAGGGTGTCCAGAGAGAAAGAGAGAGAAAGAAAGAGAGAGAGAAAGAGAGAGAGAGAGAGAGTGAACAAGCGTGAAACGACACGAACCATCGAGTATTCGCAAGCACTGCGGCTGCTGTGGCACACTACCGTCTGTCTGTCCCTCCTGCCGTCCGGCTGTCAGAAGCACCGATTCTCGCAGTAACAACCGTCAGGGTCGCAATACTCCTCCGCCACCCTGTCGCAGATTGATCGTGGCCTCATCTGCGCCACCGGCTGTCTCTCTCTCCTCGCCGGCCCCTTTTTCGTCTCGATCAGACCGAACCGACAGCAGTCGGCCCTCTCGACGTCCTCTCGTCTCCTCTGTCACTGGAAATCCTTCGGAGCCCTCTCCTTTATTCGGCTTCTTCTTCCTCTTCGAGATTATTCCTCCGATTCCTCGACACTGAATGATCAACTTCGTCTACTCTCCGTCTTCAACGGTGAATTTATTTAATTCTTCGCGTCAGAGCAATTCTGGAACACCGTAAAGATGGCGGTTGGACGGTCCCCTTCGATCTTCGGCTGAACGTGCTCTGTTACGAGAGAATGATCCCGGTTTCACGATTGGAACACTTCGTTTCGACAATCTCGCGCGACCTCTCGATACATTGACGCTCGGTCGTGGCTCTCCCTTCTTTCAGTAATGTTAATATTAATATTCATCTCATCTAGGGATAAGAATCCTATTTCGTACAATTGAAGCATTGACTTCGCAAGGTGATTCCATAGTAGAGAACAATTACGTATAGACATAATCATCCATTTGCCTTATATCTTAGATGAAAATTTGAAATCGAACAAATCGACATACTTTCTTTTAATACGAACTAAATATTCCTTATCCGATATCAATCGTTAACACAGAAGTATCGGATTCTGTTCCTCTCCCACGAAATTATGAACGAAGCATCATCGAGCACAGTTGTGAAAGGAATCACGCGACAAGGAGTTAAATGCTTCTAAAATTTGACGACACTCGAGAACTATAACCAGATTTAACCAGTTCGAGTCTACGAACGACTCGGAGCAGGTATTAGCAACATTGTAAAGATGATTTCCGATCGGTTCGCGTTGAAGATTCCGTTTCGAAGAAGAAAGAAAGCGAAATTGCTCCGCGACGGAGGGGAAGGGGGGAAAAGATGTTCGAGCTAAGAGTGTCGTTCGCCCGCTTTGTCACCGCGATTCGCTGGCGAGGCGAGGCGAGGCGAGGAGCGCGAATACGTGCGCGTTTAGGCGCGGACACGGACGGTGCCGGCCGCGTATCTATACGACACGCCGTTATTTTCGGACGCGAACGAAAATCAAAGGCGTTAAGGAGAGGCGCACGGTGACGCCGCGCCGCGGGCCGCCGTCATCGCGGATAACACCGGGGAAACGGACTCCCAGGGACGTCCCGTGGCCGTTTTATCTTGCCACGGGGGTTGATGAACCGACGAATGTCAAAGAATCGAAGGATCCTTTGTTTAACCCCTTGCACTCGGGAGCGGCGACCCTGGGTCACCGCACGATTCGATGTGGCGAAATTATTATGTTACATGCGATGTTGACACTACAGTGTTGGTAAGAGTGTATTTATTGAGATCTTCATTAGCTTGTAGTTTAATTTGCATATTGTTGAATCCAGTCATTTGGTAATTCCTCTGAGTCGTCTATATTTTTGGAATGGTAAAGGCAATCAGAAGTGGATTGATCTGTCTGGTAGTTTTTGTGTTGAATTTTGTATAAAAAATTAGTACTACTTAGTACTAATTTTAGAACTTAGTATATTAGTGGAATGCATTGAAATAAAATAAGTTGTTTTTTAATTTGTGTGTTTTCTTATTAGATGGTTTCAAAGAATGTCCTGTATACCTTGATGAGAAATTTTGGATATTTCTAGTGACGCTAGAATGTTTCTTGGTATTTTAATAGCTGATTAGCCTTCTAGGGATTTAAAGATTGATAAGGTTTGATAATTGTGGAAGAACGAAAGAGTTCAATGTCGTAGGCACGTGTTTGGTATGAGAGAAAGAATTGTAGATGACTGAAAATGGGTATCTTCGAGTCTGGTAGATAGAATTAACGAATGTTGTCGCATTTAAACAAACGCCGTTCGGATCTAGAGGATTTTCGTGTTGATTCGAATTAGTTTTCGAGGACCGCGGACCGAGAAAATATAGACGCATCGAAATTTTGCTATTTTCGTTGGCGACCGGGTTGGGAAATCGGTATTACGAATTTCTAGAACAAAATGGCGTCACCCAGCGGCGGGTCACGTGGCGGCCAACGCGATATTCATGGAGGATCGTGCGCGTTTCGCGAGTTAGAACGTTGTTTGCTGTTACGAAAAACAAATGCTAGAAATTCGTCGGTTCTAAAGATGAGGAACGGTCAGAGGTATTTTAGAGTTTGAGAAATTAACCGAGGAATCGTCTGGCTCGGTTGATTCGCGTTTCCGACGAAATTCTCGCGCGTTGTCTCGGGATTTTTGCGGATGCTACGTGTTCCCGGTGCAACTGAAAACGCGGAGCACTCTCGGCTGCGTTCTCGCGACAACATTCTATTTGCAAACCGTGCCTCGCTCTGCCGCGAGGATTCGACGACAGTGTACAACATCAACAAAACGAATTTAGTATCCCGCGCGGAGCAGGAGAATTCTCGGAGACAATTCACGGTTTTCCGGCAATCGTGGTTCGATGAGCTTGTCGGTCAAACGATCTTACTGCCTGTAAAAGCTCAAATAAATCGAAAGTTCCATTGGCAACTAATTCTCATCGATTATTTTTAGATCAAATTTGAAAACGTCAAACCCAGCAACATTTGCCAAAGAACATTATGCTTTC